GTTTTTAGAAAAATAAAACAAAATTGATAACAGAATGGATTTGTTTCCCTGCAGGCGCCTCAACAGTACAACGTAGAACGAGTGACGCCGGCTTTAGAACTCGGAGAAGGCCCGCATTGGCATTCACCGACCCGCAGTTTGTATTTCGTCGATCTCCATCAGGGCAAGATCAACAGATACCATCCGGAATCAAACAGCTTCTTCAGTGCCAACATAGGTACGACGCTCGTTCGTRCTATTTGCATCAATTATTCARTTCTGCAATAATAAACAGCGACAATAGCCCAGACAAGCCCGGATTGAGAGAATTTTTAATCCGGAGCCAATTAATTATAATATATTCGTTATTCATGTATTATAGGAAAACCTAACTTAACCTACCCGTCAATGGTCCACTATCGTTCAGTATAATATTTTGTGTGCCTGGTTCCATTGCCATTTCTCTTCCTTTAATCCGGGCTTGGTCCCWAAAATATGTTTCCTAAATTTTAATTTTAAMTTTGTAACTTTTTAATTGCTTTTATTTTTTTTTTTCATTTTTCATTGGTATATTGTAACTTTCCGTGATGTTGCATTGCCGCCAATCCGTATTAAATTTAACATTGAAAAAAGAATGATAGTTAAAACGAATGAATATTAATCTGAAACTATATTTGTTATCAACAAAAAATATTTCTTATCGTGATGAGTAAAAATATACTTAAACTATGTCAAACTAAAACAAMAACAACAACAAACTAACTTTTAAACTAAAAAATAATTTAATTTAGACCTACTTTATCTTACGAATAAATATATTTCTTACTTTATGAGTTTTAGTTGATATAAATTATTATAACTGAATGTGGTTTCTAGAACTTATTGTAATTTTCCCGTGATAAAGAATTTTACTAGTCTATATAATATAATAATAATATATGATAGGCGAGGAACCGGCACTTGTCGTCAGCGATAAATGTATGTCGTTAAATTTGTGTTAATATTGTTTTTGTGTTGTCTGTTTTAGAGGGCTATAACGATGTAACGCTCATCTTGCCGATCGAGGACAAGGCTGATATGTTCGTGGTCGGTCTGGGCCCTTCGCTCGGCATAGTTCAGTGGGACGGACGTTCGAATACAACGAGTCAGCCCAAGTACGAGAAACTGGTTGACGAGACACCGGGCAATCGTCTGAACGATGGCAAAGCGGACGCCACTGGTCGGCTGTGGGTCGGTGAGTGTAAAACATAATATATAGACTATAATACATCGTA